ATCCACGAAGTGACCGATCGAAGTGTTAACGATGGTGATCATTCAAACGAGCCTCGAGCGTGATGACCCGATACCTCTTCGTTAACAAATTCCTCCGTGCGCAGAACACAATCGTCCGGATCCGGAATCGCTCGGCGTGAGCGCAGCGATCGGTCGATCATCAACCGCCGAGAAATAAATGACTAATTATACCCTGCGTTGGCTAAGGATGGTTCTGCATCGTATCGATCATCCATCGGGTAGCCATCGACAGCGGCCAGTATCCGGCTAGCTGGGTCCAGCGTCGAGGACTCGCTTTGGTCCACGATCATTTCTATCGGATGGCCTCACGGTTTCGTGAACGAGAGAGTTATAGAGCGACCTTTCCCTCCGAGAGCTAATTAATTTTTATAACCTCGGCCGGCCCGCCTGGTACATTCCTTGCTCTGATCCTGCGCGGGGAATATTAATGTGCCAGGCTCGTTTGCTTTGCCCGCGCTCGCAGATTTCCTACCGGTCCTCTTTATTTGCAAATCGTCCCTCCCGCAGTCTCCGACCGTCCGACACTGGCCGTCTGATCGTTTCGTCGTGTCAATGAGGAGATCCGCAGTGGAGGAAAAATTTAACAAAACCAAAGAATACACTCTCTCACGGTGATAGTTCGGTTGAATGGGAGTCTAGTACTTGGACGGCACGGCTACACGTCCGGTGGACCGTTTCGTTGGGCTTGAGGGTTGAACCTTCTGTCAGGAATCGGTTGTAAAAATTGTGAGACAATGTATCAGAATGTTGCATGTAATACATTCTACTTTTTAACAATATTCGGTATGTATTACTTTTGACGTACTTATTGTATACGTGAGTACATACTTCGTTTCTTCTCGAAATTTTCGAGAGGAAAGATGAATCGTCTGTTTAATTTCTATTCTTTACTACTGGTTCATATAGGTTCTTTAAAATGTTGCAATATCTTCATACTTCAGTATGTACGGATGCAAAAATGGGTTCGATTTCCAACGGTACCGCGCGCCAGGACGAAACTCGATTATGGCCAGTATCCACAAATCGCTTAGCAGTTAGCGAAGCGTCGTGCGGTCGAACTATCGTGGGATAATTACACTTCGGCCGCTATAATAGCAAGTTAGTTATAGAGCCGAGGACTCGCCGGAGTCGGGTGAACTGCGAGCCGGTTGATCGGGCACAGTCACGAGGATGAGACGGTCTAATGTCACCGCTTTCTTCTCGACGGCAAACTTCGGCCCACGGAATATTTGACGAAGCTTACCAACCGTGTCAGTGGGCGGAGGTAATGTTATACTTGCTCTCGCTTCTTTGTTTGCCTTTCGACCGGCACCCGGACCCGGCGTTTCGAGGAGCTGAACTCGAGAGTACCGGAGGACCTTCTCCTAAATGAATTCTTGAAAAATTAGCCTCGTTCAGGGTGTACACATTGCTTCGCAAATGACACTGCTTTTCAACGCCCATTAAGATACCCCATTCAAGAGCGGGGCTCAAGAAATCTAGAAGCAAAATATTGGATCAACGAAATTTGATTTTTTAAGGAAAAAAGAATAACGGAGACATCGCAGTAGACACGGCCACTCTGAAAGGACATAATCATACGATAAAGGGATAACTGTAAACCGATCGTCGATGCCCTAATACAAAAGAAGGAAGCGTCCAGGTGCGCGCGACAGGAGGTAAACAGATCTGGCCAGGAGAAGTGGCCAAAGGAATCAACCGGTGAATCTCCGTGCCATATGCATCGAGCCCGAAGGTTTTCCGTGAACAATGAGACCATTTCCAAGAGAAACAACTCAAAGAGCCATTCCCAAAATCTCGACGATGGTTGCAGGTAGGTTCGCTAAAGAGCTCTACAGACTTTGAGTTCGTTCAGCTGGCTCTTATTTCCTGGACAGGTGAGCGGACCTCGCCTAAATAGTTCGGCCCGAGGAAATTCAGTTCCATGATGCCGGCGCAATCCGTGTCCGAGCTGGGAAAGACGTAGGAGGGTCCAGGGTGTAAAACAGTGGAGGTCGGGACGTCGCAGAACGGATTTTACGAGTCGGTTCGGAAACAAGAGGGGTGACTTCGGGCACGGGTGGTTCTTTATGGCACTCAGAAGCGTGCATACGGAGGTGGCTCGGCCACGGACCTTCGAGGGTCGAACAATCGAGTGGGCCGAGAACTACCTACTCGCTTACGGCCTCTCCTTCGAGCCCTCTCTCCTTCGAGCCTGTCCTACGCCAGTCGAGTCATAACCGCAAGGAGTACAATAGGTGGTAACCACCGGCGGCTTTTCACCGCCACTTCTTCGCCCCGCCAATTAATTTCCGTGGCGGTGATCCCGTTTGAGGAGGCAGGCTCGAGGGCCGCCGATGGACGAGCATAAATCTCGGAATCCTCCGGTAGCCCCTTTTTCCTTTCCGCCGTGCGACGCGTTTCGCTTGCGAAGCGGTCCACCTCGAGGTGTTCGACGCCGGGACCGCTTCCACCCCGTTTACTGCCCCGGCTCTTCCGACGCGCCGCCACAGCTAATTGTCGTGTACCTGCGCTTTATGGCGCGGCACGGGATACGCTGATCTTCATCTCGGAATACTTTGAGGACGATAAACGGAATCTTGTTAATGGCGTTTACCCCTTGAGAGGAACCGCAGCCATTTTTACCAGTCCAGAGTGGACCCTGGCGCTATTCTCAAGTTTCCGAATCAGTTTTTACGACGCTAAATATTGTGGTTTATGGCACTTCAGATCATTCAAATCTTGTCTCTGAGGTATTCTCCTTCGTCTATTGGGTAAATGGTAGCAAGCGTTGATTTCTCGAGAGTTCGGTGAAATTTAGAGTTGCTTTTATATCTCGAAGATCGCAGAACTCGGATAGGATTAACTGGTCCTATTCATTTTCAGGAGCCCGCGGACGCCGTTCAACCGTCCTGCGACGCTTCTGAAGTGCCGCAGCGAATTCTCAAGTGGCGAGCGTTAATTCAGCCCTTCCCTAAATTCTGAGGATACTTTTCGGAGGACTGACGGACGTTCTTCCGGGTCGCCGCGGGGAATATTTCATTCCGCGGCCGTGCGCCGGAAGCAAGGAGTCGCGACGGGGCCGCGTCTGTTCCAGCCTGGAAGACGCGGAGGATTCTATGGAGTCTAGTCGGTGGAAAAATTGAAGAGCCGGCCGCTAATTCGCGCGACAATGCTCACACCGGCTGCACACCGGGGACCGAAAGTTTATCGCCGCGGCTCGCGAAAAACGACCTTTGGCTGGCCGCCAATCCGTGGGCACGATCTTTCGGGGCTCATGGCCAATGACGAGGACCGCTCGCGTCGCACGGGCCTGCATAATTTATTATCGACGAACCGTTCGCGCCGGCATCGTTCGCCACCGCCGCCACCGCTACCAGAAATTCCGGGCGCCGGGAAACGTCGACGACCTTGCGCCGCAAACTTTCGTCGAACCTTGGCGCTTCCAGAGTATCCTATGTACACGGTTTCCTTAAAGGTAAATTAAAGAAAAACTAATCGCGCTACAACATGATTTTCCCGTTGATTCACGGATCTGCTTTCTTGCAGGGATTTTCATCTCCGGAAACAATAGGGTTGAGTGGAGTAAGCAGCCGGTAGGTGGAACGATGAGAAGTAGAATCGGAAACGACAGCGATAGAAATGTCTATTCATAATTTCAGGTAATGGACCGTGTGACAGTGGGATATGCGTAGCAGAAGATGATAGATCATAGGGGAAATCGAGGAAGAAGATCGAAAGGTGCAAAGCAACCTGACTCGACAATTCGCGTGGCAGGACACCTGAAGACAAAGGACCATCGCGACCTTAGGCACGACGATCGTAAGTCTCCGTTCGCTTCATCGATCCTGGATCGTTACAGTCAACGTCCCTGTAACATCGATTACCGGCGTCGACTCGTCCCCGGCGCGGTTCCTTATTCCCATGCCGCGCGGTGCCTCCGCGGCGGTTCCGCAAGCGCGTAGAGGAAACGGATCCCGTGGCTGTTCTCTCTCTCTGTCTCTCTGTCTCTCTGTTTCTCTCTCCCCACGGTGACGGTCGGTGATGGATGCACCGGCATTTACCAAAGTCGTTCGCGGGAGAGTCGCCTAGACGATAGAAGGATCAGGGGTAAAAAAGCAGCGACCGCGGAGCAAGGACAAAGGAGCGAACGACGACGTCGACAACGACGACGAATACGACGACGACGACGACGACGACGACGACGACGACGACGAAGA